GATATAGAGTGATTGAATAATATTATATATATGTAACATTATTCAATCACTATCGTATCAATTATATATATCAATTTGAACGGTGGCAAATGGTAATTTTGCAAGATTAAAGGAATGATAATTAAATACAAATAAAATCCTATTTTTGTGACAAGTAACTTTTAAGTAACTAAATTTTATCAAATTTTCATCGTATAACTCCTTCATGATGCTTTTGTTCGCTATAGGTGCATAAAGTTTCTCAATCCACGTTCACTTACTCATACGAACTGATTTAATTAATTTTTCGCTTTTTCATTTAATTTTTCATTTAATCGCTCTCGGACATTAGTTTCGCCGATCTTCCGTTTTTCGTTAACGAATACTTGCGTCGAAGCATCGAGGTGTAGACTTCGCCGCCTCGCGAATGGAACAGTGCCTGACGACGGCTAATGTCGAAAGTATCTCTGTCAGATTGCTGTCGCCAAGCAGTTCGCCGGCCACGTCGCCCACAATGTCGAATTCCTCGTCGCCGACGCCGCCGACGCCGGCTACACCGACTTACAATCAGAAGATGACCGGGATACCTTGCGTGGCCGCTGCTTCCAGGTACACAGCTCCAGTTCACATCGACGTAGGTGGCACGATATACACGTCCTCGCTGGAAACACTGACCAAGTAAGCAGATTTCCCAATTTTTCACTCAACGCTAAAAATCTACCGCGGTCAAAAGTGACCGCGCTTTCTTATTTTGCAATTCTGCAAAGTTCCGGGACTCTTTCGTGGAAAACGCTTGAATAAGTTATATATTATTGGAGCAAGTTTTATAATAAAAACTGTACGAACTCTAAATAAATTCGGTCTTCTCACTTTCGTGAAGCAGTACGTGCCGATTCGTCTAACAGTACGACAACTCGCGGATGCACGTGTAATGCGTTTACAGCACGCGCAATGCGTTTACAGCACGCGAGAAACCGATTCGGACGCTGTTGCGGACGCGAGAAGTTCGCACGCGGTTCCGCGGCTCCGTGGAAAGCTCGTTGATCCTGCTCCGCGAACGACCACGCGACTGTCATTCTAATTTATTATGCGCAGGAAAGTGAAATCTACGATAATGAATGCGAGATAGGATCGGCGATTTTTGCGACCGGTCGCGGGACACGCGAGACACACACGCTGGAATTCCAACGGGATCGTTCAGATTGTCCGCTGTGTCCGTTTGCTTGAGAAATGTGGAAGCGTCGACGTGGAAGCTGTCGAACGACGAATTCCGTTTCGAAAGAGTGTTGTGTTTCACGTTTGATTTATGTTCGCTGCGGAATCGGGATTATTAACCATTAGCACTCCGAACCATGCTGGACGTTGGCTACCAGCTACTCGGCGCCACTTTTCGGCAGAAACGGAAGAAATTTACAGATCCTCGTATTGTTTAGTATGGTTTTGGAACTAACTAACATATTATAATGATATTGGACTTATATGAATTGGCTGAAATCGAGAAATTTGCAAAAAAATCAATATTTTAGTTTTTATAATTTTGTTATTGTTTGTTTTATAATTTTGTTTTGTTGTTGTAATCGCTATCTATGCGAACTCTTTCTCTCGTCGCCTTGTTGCTCGGACGATATCGCTATCGCTGCTATCAAAACGATAGACTAACTGTAGAAGAAAACCTTCTACACAGTTAGTCTTTCCAACATATCTGTATAAACGTCTATCCGGAGCTCATCTTCGCTACTACTTGTGTCGTGAGACTCATTCGTGTTTGAACGTTTTGCCATTGTTCTAATAAAAAATATGAATAAATACATAGGTTGAAAATTTCTAATTGTTATTACTAACTCACAAGATGATATTTACCAAAAAAACTTTTACCAAACAATTTATTTACCAAGAGAAGAATCACTTTTCCGATTTTCTCACTCGTTAGATCTATCTATACCGCTCGACGCTTCAAACCAGACTGAGTTCAGCTTCGAAAATCTTTTCCTCCAGATTTTACGATTATAAATCTCACTATACAGCGCGTGCTATGTTCGCATACCGATCTTTCTTCTACAAACTTGCCTTATCGCTCTTTTCAAATAGCGCCTTTGAAGTGCTCGGACCGTCGTGAGCACGCCTCTCACGTTCTCGTCGAAACCCGCTGACATTTCTTGTATATATCTTAGTAATTTTACTATATTTTGATTTGATTTCTTGTGCCATTTCAAGTGAAACCTTCAGGGAAACATGCATGTCTAAAAAAGTTGCGCTGAAATACTCAATTCCCCGTAATCATTAATAAACTTTAACCCTTTGCACTCGAATGGCGACTCTGAGGCGCCACTAAATATTGGTATACTATTTTTCAAAATCATTCTAAGAGCATCAGACTCGTTTATATTTATAAAAAAACTATTAAAATCGCATTGTACTTGCCAACAGACTCAATTTCATATGCATAAATTGCAATAAATTATATAAAATAGAAATACTGTAGATCAGAGATCATGTTTTAGATTCCGAATTCAAATAGCTTCGACTGCAAAGGGTTAATGCCCCGCGAGAGGGGACATCCGAGTGATATGCTAGAATTACGATGTCCCACGAGAGGGGATATCCGAGTGCAAAGGGTTAAGTTCTTTCGAAACCGGTGGACCCGGAACGTTCGCGTCGTTTTTGTCAGATGCATGTCATAAATTGATGATCCGCGTCCGACATTAAACTCGTTAATCACGAGCGTTAAATAAACGTAAAGCACGATTAACGTCGCGCGAATACGGTCTGCCGTGCGTTTATACGCGACGTAATTTTACGAGTTCGCGTGAACCGGCAACGAGGTCGGAGATTTTCATGGAAACAGCATATATATTCGCGGTGCAAAGAATTTCGACGCGAGAGAGTAGAAAGGGAGCGTGATGTCCGGATCGCGGAAACGTGACCATCGACAACGCTCCAGGATGTTCGTAGCGGGCAATATCTCACAGAACATATCGCTCGCAATCAGGCACACCGTTACCATGCCCGACAGTGTCCAAAGGCTATTTGCGGTATACTCGTGTACTTTATGCATAAAAGAGACGTAACGTGAAAGCACAACTGCACTTTGCACCGCGGTAAGTCTCTAATCTCAGCGAATGATCCCCCCGCAGCCACCCGGGCGACATTTTCTGGATCTGCGATTGCGGAAACAATGGCAAACGCGTGAATTCTAAATAAAAAGGATCACTCGATCGTCCATGTTATTTTTGTGTTGAATTACTTTTGCCTAGAAGATGAGGTTTCACCACGCTATTTTGATTGAACTGGTCAATCGAATAGTGAAGCAAACGATGTTACTGAAAACATAATCGAATTGGAAAGATCGTACGCGATTGTTTTACAAGGCTAAATTATTATACGAATCAATGAATATCGGAGCAAACAATGATGCTTATCAACGTAATTTTGTGAAATTGGTGTAGATAATGAATTATTAGGGTATTCGGAAGGTAATTTCGTTCTTCCAAAAGAAAAATGAAAGACTATTTTTCAATGTTTCAAATAATGTTTCAAATAATTCTAATGTTTCAAATGATGTATTGTTCTATAACTTTTTGGTGGCTTTCTGGCAGCTTTGAAATCTTATGCTCGTGGAAATCCTGTTTCTTATCGTCAAGTAATTTTGAACACACAAAGTGAAATTTTCTTGGAAGAACGAAATTACTTTCTAGACAATCCAACAGTATAATATTAACTAAATATTATCGTATAATATTAACTAAATATTATCGTATAATATTAACTAAATATTATCGTATAATATTAACTAAATTATATATATTATTATATTATTATATATTATAAATATTAAGTATAATATTAACTAAATATTATATTATTAACTAAATATTAACTATTAAAAATTGTTAAGTATGAAATGCATATTTTACTTTACACTGTAAAATCTATGCATTTCACACTTAACGATACTGGCAAGACAATTTTACACTGCAATTCTTGCATACTCTCGAATTTAGAAGCTCGTCCATATTTATTTTGCTACACTATTTTTACTAAATCAATTATTTAGTTACCGAAAGAGGCAGAGTTAGCGATGACTTAATCGTACAATACAATTCCTGCACTGTCGAATTTAAAAGATCATAGATATATCTGTTCTACCCGTTTCCTACGGCGGTGCTTCAAATGATGAGTTTCCTACGTCATTTTGGATTCCGAAATGAAACGGAGCTCGTTATAATTTACTCAAACGAAGACAATTAAATCCCTTTCATATAGAGAAATAATGGGACATTAAAATGTTATTAAGGCTAAAGGTAAAACCTCCATAGTAATATCTCCCCGCGTTACTGATATTAGAAACTTTATACCAAGCACTGTATCCATTTTTCTTCCGATCGATACCCGTATCACTGTTCGCCATTCTATTAATCGACTAATAAAATTGTACAAGACTTTTTTCGTCCGACCGACGTTAGGTCTTAATTAGGTTATTTTTTCGTTAGGTTTGGACACAAAGAGAACTAATGCTTCTAAAGCGACGATTATTTTCATTAATCCACTCTAATCTAATATCAAAGTAAAATTCAAAAGTGGGGCAGTTCAATTAATATCTTTAATAGCCGATACTTCGTAAATTGGCGAATGAATAATATCGTTTCATACGTTATTATCGCTGTTAAAATCTCTCAGCTGTGAAATGACACATTTCTTGGAAACTATTAAATAATTCTCGTA